GATCCCATATCTATTTCTTTCTAAGTTTACTCCTTAGTTTTGGTGCAGCATTCCTCCAGTAGCTTTCTAAGAAACGTTACATGGGAAGTATACATTTTGAACTTTTATTGTCTTGAAATGTGTTTATTCTACCCTTTCATTTGACTGATAGTTTGGCTAGGTATAGAATTCTAGGTTGGACATATTTTCCTTCAGAAGTTCAAATGCAATGTTCTATTGTCATCTAACTTTTGATGTTGCTACTGAGCAGTCAGATGCAATTCAAATGGAATATGGTGACCTTTTTTTTTTTTTTTCCATCTCGGAAAGCTTATAGGATCATTTTATTATCCTCGTTATTCTGAAATTCTACTATTATTTGCCTTGAGTTAAGCGTGTTTGCATTTGTTGTATTGGACACTCAATAGATCCTTCCAATCTGGAAATGAATGTCCTTCAGTTCTGGGAAATTCTGTTGTAATATTAATTTAATATTTTCCTTACTTTTTTTTAATCTTTCTGAATTAAGATATTGGACCTGCTAGATGGATCCTTTAATTTTTTTATATTTTCTATTTTTCCTTCTTTTTTTTTGTCTTTTTGTTCTTTCTGCTCCCTGAATGTTCCTTTTTCTGTGGCAATCTATTCTTGTTTTACAAATTTAATCTTTCTTAAAAATTTCTTTGAGAATATTAAAGAGTCTTTTTAAGTTTAACTTTTGCTTAAATTATTTATCTTTCCTCCAGGCACTTAGTTTTCAAGTTTTTTTTTTTCCAATCTGTTAAATCATTTACCACTTTGGTCTATAAGTGTTTGTTTTCCAACTTCACAAATTTTGTTGACATCTCTTTTCTGCTGGCTTCTTCTTTTTCATGCTCTTGCTCTTGGTCCTTTTGTGTTTTTGCCTGTTTTATTCCTTTACTGTCATTTTTATTGTTTTGGGAGATATAAGAAATGAGGGCATGAGTTCAGTCCACTATTTTACACATGAATTGTGCGGAATGTGTTATAAACATGTAACTCAAACATGCTTTACACATGCATAAAGTATAAACAAAAAAAGCATTGTCATTGTTAATTATTTTAGTTTGGTGCCTGGCTTAGTTGATTTATTATGCTTTAGCACAATTTAAAATGCTTACCTTTTTAGGGTCTTCTCTGTAAAGTGAGGATGTTAGAGTAAACGAACCCTATGATCCTTTCCACTTCTAAAGTTCTCTGACTCTGTGAAGGACTGGGATTAGAGGCCTGAAAGACAGATAGGAGACTGCCAGCAGCCTGACAGGGAAGCAGAGGCTACCTCTTAAGGGTTACAAAGCTGTGCTGCTGTTGAGAAGCTGGAGTCCATTTCTGGAAAATTTTTAGGTGAGAGATTATACCAAGGACAAAGAATTTAAGTGGAGGTCTGAGTAGTAAGGAATTATGGAAATAGTGTCTAGGTGGACTTTTTCTTCGTCCTTGGTCTCTATTTCTATCTGGTGTTTCTAATCCTTTTTTTCCTTCTTATATCTCCCATTCCCTCTTCTCTTTGCTCTACACGTGTTTGGGCCTTTGGTAGTTCTCTCTCCTTGACTTTCCCTTTAGACCATTTGAGGATAGGGACTATGTCTATTTTGTGCATCCTCAGTAGCAAGTTCAGTGCTTGGCAAATAGTAAGTGATCAATAGATATTTTTTGGCTGGATACATCTATCTTCCTTTTTCCCTGGGATGGCTCTCTATCTCTCTTAATATAAATTAAATTTCTTTTAAAATTATTTTATATATGAAAATTTTATGTTACCTGTTCTTCATTTATAAGGTAAATGAGCCAAATCATTATATTTTTCTCTGTCACTACTTCCTACCATGCATTATTACATTTATTGAACCTTACTTGTTAATTTCCTGGATGATTTTTTCCCCCTGAAGATCAGGGGCTCCTCAAAAAAGCGTTCTCCCCACGCTGTTAAAGAAAGGAGAAATTTTCAGAAAACCCACTTCCTTTTTAAAAACTTTGTTCCTTGTTAGGCTAGAAGGCCTTTTACTGTGTAGCTCACAGAGATGAAAGTACATTAAAACACAGACACACATACACACACACACACATACAAAACTATCCCAACGTCCAACTACTTTACACTAAAGGTAAGTCAATACTGGCTTTTCCCCAGGCAGGGAAACAATTATAATACAAGGAGAGAAGTGTTATAACAGAGATAGGAATAAAGTGCCACAGTCGCAAAGAAGAAGGAAGGAATTAAGATATGATTCAGGAAGTTAAAGTCAGGAAAGGAAAGAAAGGACATTTTCAGATTCCTTATAATGTCTTTTTCTGATACAGCTTTTCAAAAGCACAGTGCATGAAAGAAATAAAAGATAAACTGGACTTCAATAAAATTAAAAACTTCCGCTCTGTGAAAGACACTGTTAAGAGAATGAAAAGACAAGTCAAGGACTGGGAGAAAATAATTTCAAGATACATAGAAAGGACTTGTATCCAAAATTTAGAGAACTCTAAAAACTCAAAAATAAGAAAACAAACAACCCAATTACAAAATGGGCAAAAGATCTGGACAGACACCTCACCAAAAAAGATATCTTCTTCTTGTTAGTTGCTGTTGAGTCGATTCGCCCATGTGTGTCAGAGTAGAAGTGTGCTCCCCAGGGTTTTCAAGGCGGTGACCTTTCAGAAGCAGAGGTGCCTCTGGGCTCTGGGTGGTTCAAACTGCCAACTTTTCAGTTAGTAGTCGAGCGCTTAAACTTTTGCACAACCAGGGACTCCAAAAAAGATATACAGATGACAAATAAGCATATGAAAAGACACTCAACATTATGTCATTAGGGAATTGCAAATTAAAATAATAAGATACCACTACACACTTATTGGAATGTCTACTATCCAAAACATCGACAACACCAAATGGTGGCGAGGATGTGGAGCAACAGCTCTTCCCTATACCCCTTGCAATTTACAAGACCTGTAGCAGAAGTTGCAGTAAATATCTTCTCAAGTAGTAAAGCAGAAAAAACATAATTCTCTTGAATCTTATGATCGTCCCTATTACTTTGCTTATTTTCATATCACTCTGTAAAGATACCCAAAAAAGGCCTAGCGTTACACTACAGGTCAGGTCTTTTCTCTTTCCTTACTGCCTGATCTGCTTTCCCTGCTGCTGAGATTAGAAGACAACGGCTTTTGATCCGTTTTAACACTAGAAGGGTAATGTTTCTCTTTTAGACACTGTCCCAAGGTTCTCATTATGATGGATGACTTTATGGGCAATTACCTGAGTGCTATGACTGCCCTCTGATCCCTGTCTTATCTCCCACTGATCTCTATGCAGGTCCTTCCTGCCAACACAGGGGCCATTGCTTTAGTTATGTTCCAGGATAGATCTCTTCTTCCTCTACTTCCCCTACATCTTTGTTCCTTGTCAGGAACATTTCAAATAAAAGCTCCTTTTGGAGGTTGCGTGTGTATATGTGTGAGTGGTTGAGGTTGCCCTAAAGGAAAAAAGAGTATTGGCAAAACCATCACGATCACCAACTATTTAGTGAAAACCTACAAAGGATGCAACAGGAGGACAGATATAGATATTATGTAGCTGTGTACCTTTAGAAACTCAGAATTTTAAATATTTAACACCATTATCATGTAATTACATCAGTGGTCCTGGCAACCCCCAACAAACTCTTCCTAAAAAGACCCTACTGAAATGGAGCGGTAAAACGTGTTGCCTGCTATCCTGACTTGAAAGAACTATGAAAAAGAAAAAAGGCAATATCAAAGTTTAAATAGATATTTTCCTTTCAAACTAAAAGCTGGTGTCACTCATTAATAAAATATTTATTGGAACCCACTTGAGAGGCCAGTTTTGCATACTGGTTTCGAGTCAAAGCTCTGGTGGCAGATAGAATTCCTTCTCTGCTACTTACTGGCTTCATGTCCTTGGATAAGTTGCTTAACTCTGAGTTTTGGTTTCCTCATCTACAAAACGGATATAAAAATTGGAATTGTCTCACAGGATTGTCATTATAATTAAATAAGATACTATGCTTAAAGTGCTTAAGTATTGTGCTTTAGAGTATTTGACACTGCTCTTTCAACATTGCAGTTAAGTTCAAATATCTCTTAAGAGCATAGAAAATCCTTAAAATAGAACTATATTTGACTAAATTAAATTATATTTGAGTGCATCCTATTTTTCTAAATAGGAGCATTAAAAAAACAAAAACAACATTGCCGTAGATTCCAACTCATAGGGGAATACGGAGACTGATAACACAGGATTTTCAGAACTCCAAAGGGTACAAACCCCTCACTACTCTGTGTCCCCCAAAGTGTCTTACAGAATGTTAAGTCTTGCAAATAGATTGTTGTTAGCTGCCCTCCAGTTGGCTCCAACCCAAGGTGACATTATGTATAACAGAACCAAACGTTGGCCAATCTATGCCATTTTCATTATCTTGGTATGTTTGAGTTCATTGTTGTGGCTATTCTGTTAATCCATTTCATCGATGGTTTCCCTAGTCGGAATTGACTGGACTGCAATTTTTTTTTTTTTTTGGTTCTACTTTACCATGCATAATAGATGGGCGCCTCAAAATCAAGTTTGTAGTCATTTTTTAAGGCCCCCTCAAATCCCCCCTGACCCCAAGTGTCTTAGTCATCTAGTGCTGCTCTAACAGAAATACCACAAATGGATGGCTTTAACAAAGAGACATTTCCTCAGAGTAAAGTAGGCTAAAAGTCCAAATTCAGGGAGTCAGCTCCAGGGGAAGGGTCTCTCTCTCTCTCGGCCTTCTCATCAGTGTTTTCCCAGACTAGAAGCTTCTTGGCACAGGGACCCCGGGTCCAAAGGACGTGCTCTGCTCCTGGCACTGCTTTCTTGGTGGTATGAGGTCCCCCACTCTCTGCTTGCTTCTGTTTCTTTTTATCTCTTGAGAGAGAAAAAGCGGTGCAGGCCACACCACAGGGAAACTCCCTTTACATTGGATCAGGGATGTGACCTGGGTAACGGTGGTGTTACAGTCCCACCCTAATCCTCTTTAACATAAAATTACAATCACAAAATGAAGGCCAACCGCACAGTTCTGGGAATCATGGCCCAGCCAAATTGATACATTTTTGGAGGGACGTAATTCAAACCATGACACCAAGCTATGGCCTGAGCCTCTGCCAGCTCTAAGCTCCTATTCCCAGTTACATCCAAAACGCGTCTCCTCTCTCATTATCCATCCCTTCTCCAAGTCGACGCCTCCAGCCCAGCCTCCTCTGGTCTTCGATGCCTCCCGCCCCTCACTGACCGCAGTCTCCAAATCCAAGGATGGGGCCCTCGCGCCCGCGGGGCCGGGCCACACCAGTGCGCATGCTCCGCGTTGTGCGGGTGGGGTGCGCCGGCGCCCGGAGGCAGTTGCCGGGCGCTAGTTCCGCACGGCCCTTTACGCCTTGGCGTTGCCAGCCAGGCCAAGGCGGGAGAGCGAGTACCACGGCGGCAGCGTCCTGGAGACCCCGGAGAGATGGAAGCGGCGTCGCCGACGGCGGCCGAGTCGGCGGGGCGCGAGGAGCTAGGTCGGTGTTGCTTGTGGGTAAGGGCGCGAGGCCCACGTTGGCGCGAGACTGAGCGTCCGCGGGATGTGCCGAGGCCTCCGGCCGCTCGGCGCTGAGCAACAGCCGGGGAGGCGGATGCAGCCGCCCAGGGCCCGAGCGGGGCGGCGAGGCGGTGCCTGCCGCACGCTGGTGACCCCGTCCGCATCCGGGTTCAAGTTGCTTCTCTTTAGACAGGGAGGGACGTGGGGTGATTTTCTTTCTTTTTTTCTTGTCAAGACTCTTGCGATTGTGGGTCTGGCACAGATTTGAATTTGAAGCCCAGCAAGCCAACTTACTTCGGGACATTTGGGAAGAGCTGAGGCTTAGGCGCTGACCCCGGGGTTAGCACCTGCGCAGTAACGGGTTGTTTGGCCAGAGAGCCAGGTTGTGGCGAAAAGGCGGAGCCTACAAAGGGCATCAAAATGTGCCTGTGGGCATGTGCGGGTGTGTACGTGTCAAAGGCAAGCGAGAGTCTGCGCCTTGAGTCACCATTTTTCCCAATGATGATATAAGGAAGTTGCCATTGTTTTGCTTTTCAAACGCAGCAGCCCCATTGAGTGCCCAGGTGAATCCTGAATTTATCGCCTGCCACCCAGTGAATGACGAACAGGACGTCCCTACCAGACTGAACAAGAGATACCTGTAGCTAGCTCTCTTGGCAGAGTTTGTTTTCCTGCTTTTTTCTGGTGTCTTCTTGGCAACAGGGAATGTTTGTGTGTGGCTTCCCGCTGTCAAGAGGAAAACAAAAGTAAGGATCAGGGCAGTGAAATGTTTATCTCCCAGTTACAGGCACGGTGCTTAGGAATTATTTTCATTCCATGCTGAATGATTAAATGTAATCTTCAAGAAAGAAGTTGAGCTTTTTTAAAAAAAATACTTTATTGTAAGTAACTAATAGATTGGTATTTCTGTAATAATGTGCAGGGCACTTGGCAGTTGATTTTTTTCAAGTCATAGTAATGATGGAAATAATAAAACTTAACATTGTATTAAAGGATTACTGTGTGTTGAGCAGCGTACTGAATGCTTTACATATGTATTGTCTAGTTTAATCTTCACAACGATCCTGTGAGTTAGGTGCTGTTATTATCCCCATTTTATAGATCTAGTAATTTTAAGCTTACTAATGGCAGAGCCCAGATATGAGCCCAGATTTATCTGACTCAGTTTTAAGTTCATTACTACCCTCTCTCAGTGAGGATGTAGGAAGATGAGCATTTTCATGCATTGCTGGTAGGAGCAGGATAATACATCTGTTCTTAAAAAAAAAAAAAATATATATATATATATATATATATATATATATCCTTTGACCCAGCAATTCTACTTCTAGAAATATTTCCTAAGGAAATAAGACATGTAAACCAGTATTTATATCAAGACATGATCATTACAGTATTTACACTAGAGAAAAAGCTGATAACTCTCTAAATGTCCATTTAAAGGAAATTGATTAGGTAAATGTTATATGTCCAGTATGCTGCATAGCCATTGAATGCGATATGGAAGGATGTTCACCATATACATTTTATTAACTGCCAAAAAGAGTTCAAACTGATTTTAATGTTTTTTAAAAAATTTTATGTGGGTTCATTAATTCAACATGTATTCATTGAGTTTCTCCCATTGAGCACTCTGTTAGTCATGTGGGACACATCCCTGAATAAAAGAGATCAAGATCCCTGCTCTCATGGATCTTATATTCTAGTAAGCGTAAGCAGACAATAAACAGTAAACACAGTAATCAGTGAATTATATAGTATATTAGGTGAAAAGTGCTCTGGAAAAAAAAACAGCAGGGTAAGGAAAATCAGGAGTGATTGCTGGGCAGTTTATGGTAGTATATAAGGTGGTCAGGATAGGCCTTATGAAAAAGGTGAGATTTGAGCAAAGACTTGGAAGAGGTAGGGGAATTAGCCAAGCAGTTATGTAAGGAAGGACCATTACAGACAGAATGAACGGAGTAAAGACAGGAATAGTAAGGTGGCCAAGGGGACTGAAGTGATCAAGGCAGTGGTGAGGTTAGAGTGTTAACAACAAGCCTTATATACATAGTGGTTAAGTGCTTAGCTGCTAACTGGAATGTCAGCAGTTCAAATCCACCAGCCGCTCCTCAGGAGAAAGATGTGGCAGTCTGCTTCTGCAAAGATTTACAGCCTTGGAAACCCTATAGGGCAGTTCTGCTCTGTCCTGTAGGGTCACTTGGAGTTGGAATTGACTTGATACCAATGGGTTTGGTTTTATATAGGCCATGTAGGTTCCTGAGTGACGTTTGTGCTCAACTACTAACCTAAAGGTTGGTGGTTTGAACCCAACCAGAGGCACCTCAGTCTGGCGATCTGCTTTCTTAGAGTCACAGCCTTGAAAAACTTACATGAAAACCTTCTACTCTGCACACATGGGGTATCCATGAATCAGAACGGACTCGATGACAGCTGGTTTGGTTTGGTTGAGTATAGGCCATGTAAAGACTTTGGCTTTTACTCTGAGAGATTTGGGGAGCCAGTGCAGGGTTTGAGCACAGGAGTGACATGATCTGACTTAAGTTTTAAAAGTATTACACTGACTATTGCATGAATAGATTATAAAGGAGGAGAAGTAGAAGCAGGGAGACCTGTTAGAGGATATTTCAGTAATCCAAGAAAGTGATATATGTGTTCTTCAGAGCAGTAGGGTAGCAGCATTAGAGGTGAAGAGAAATGGTTAGACTCTGAACATATTTTGGAAGTAGAACCAGCATGATTTCCCGACAGATCAGATGAGGGGTGAAAGTGAAACAGAAGAGACAAGAATGATTCCAGGGGTCAACCCGAGCAACTACAGGAATGGAATTGCTATCAACTGAGATGTTATGGTGGTTTTATAATATTTCCACAGATTCTTTTATGTTTCTCCCTTCAAGAAGAGGAACTTAATATTCCTTTCTCCTTAAGTGTGGGCTGGATTTAGTGACTTGCTTCTAATGAGCAGATTATGGTGGAAGTGACAGTGTGTAACTTCCAAAGCTAGGTCATAAAAGGGATTGAGCCTTCTCATTCCTTGCTCTCTTTCTCTTGGATCACTCACTTTGGAGGAAGCCAGCTGCCATGTTGTGAGGACACTCAAGCAGTCTTAAGGAGAGCCCCATGTAACAAGGAACTGAGACCTCCTAACAATAGCCATAGATTGTTACGCAGCCACAGGTAACTAGTACAGATGTGTGAAGCTACAGGACCAGCGGATTTGAGAGTGAGGATCAGAGTTCAAGATCAGAGTTCATTTCAGGGTTGTCAAGTTTGAGATATTTAGTAGACATCCAAGAGTGGATGTCAGGTAGGCCATAGGATTTATGAATCTGGAATTAGTGAGCGGTCTGGTCTGCAGTGGCATCACTAGGGTTGATATCACCCAGTGCCGTAACTCATGGTGTCACCTCTCCCCCCATCGATCTCCTCCAGTACCAGACCATACAGAATCTTTAGTAATGTTTTTTGTGCTAATGTTACTCATAAATTGTAATTCCTGTACATCACTTCTTCTTTTTCTTTAGTTACTACTTCATACTAAAAAAAATCATTGATACAGGTTCACAAAAACTACCACAATATTGTAGCTAAAACATGAGAAAATTGGACGGAATCAGTGACTATAAAAACACTGGCAGTGACGAAAACAACAGCGTGTGTTTTAGCGCGTGCAGATGAAACCATGTGATTTGAAGCTTCATTATAATTGAGTAATAATGACAGCTCTGACCTGAGCATATTAGAAGGTTCAAAAAGTGAATTAGCGTAGAGTTTTAGCCTTGTAGGTATATTGATACATGTAAGGTGGGCTTATAAAAAAATGTTTATTTTTTTTAATTGTTGTAGTTTAGATGAAGTTTACATTTCAAGTTAGTCTCCCATACAAAAATCTATGCATACCTTGTTATGTGACCCTGACTGTTCTCCCCATACTGTGACAGCAAACTCCTCCTTTCCATCCCTGATTCTGCATGTCCATTCAACCAGCTCCTAACCCTCTCTGCCTTCCCATCTCACCTCCAGACAGAAGCTGCCTGTTTAGTGTCTTGTATCTACTGGGGCTAAGAGGCACACTCCTCACGGGTATCACTTTTATGTCCCACAGTCCAGTCCAATCCCTGTCTGAAGAGTTGGCCTCGGAAATTGTTTGAGTTCTGGAATCCGGGGGTCATGCTTTCCAGGGTTCCTCCAGTCTCAGTCAGACCATTAAGTCTGGTCTTTTACTAGAATTTGAGTTCTGCACCCCACCTTTTTCTTGCTCCATCTGGGACTCTGTTGTGTTCCCTGTCAGGGCAGTCATTGGTGTTAGCTGGGCACAATCTAGTTCTTCTGGTCTCAGGCTGATGAAGTCTGTGGTTTATGTGGCCTTTTCTCCCTCTTGGGCTAATACTTTCAAAAAAGTTTTTGTTGTTATAACCAACTGCAGGGGTATTTTTATACAAAATAATAAACTTCCGCTGAAACACTGCACAAAAATTTTGTGGACAGTCATTTTGGTGTTTACTCCTGTAACGATTACAGCCTAGAAGATCCTATGGGGCAGTTCTGCTGTGTCATATGGGCTCGCTATGAGTTGACATCAACTCAACGGCACCTAACAACAATAATAATCATAGCACTTGCCCCAAAATTGTAGCAAGACATTAGCAAATAATAGAGTTCATGTGTAATATAAATTATATTGTATAAGTTTTCATTATTTTGGGATGAGTGTTCAGATTTTATTTCATTTGTCCTTAACTCTGTTAAAGCTTTTACTCTGTAAGTATTTATCTCCTCTAGCAGTCTCTGTTTTCTTCTGGCTGGTATAACATGTTCTGTCCATCTTTGCATACTCAGTAATACAGCATGTTTTTTAGCTCATACATGCTCAAAAATGCTTTATCAAATAAACTAAATCTAATTTCTTGTCACTGGCATTTTAAATCCTATACAGTGCAGTTTGCTTCTAGTAAATCATTATGTAGAAATGGAAGA